AAAAAAATAACTTTAAAATATCACTGTAATATGAAGCGCTGCTCTCTGATTTTAAGAGTTCTAGTAAACATAAAACATAACAATATTTACTGAAGCCACATTTTTCTAATTTTGTGAAAAGTTGACATTTTGGAGATGCATAGTTCTCACTAGACAAGCTTCTCTACATGTTTTATTTCAAGTAAACACTCAAACACGTTCCGCACCGCATGCTTGATAAAAATGTGTTTTAATAGATTCAATAACTTCCCTCTCAGACATGTGAAACTCTTAATGCCTGCAGTGGCAGTGATACTGAAAGGATTCCCAGTTTCCAAACTAAAGTGTGTTTTATCTGCGCCAGAGCAAAATGGCAGAATTGATCTTGATTTTTCTAGTTCTTAATACTTTTCAGATAATGACCAAGCACCAAGCACCATAGTTCAAAAACTCTGAATGGATTTGTTTTCCACCTGCCTGAGCAAACCCAACTCGAAAAAGACTAAATAACGAACATTGCACAGCTGTACCCCAACACGGTTATTTCATTTCACATTTCTTTATTGCCTCAAGCCTGCAGCCTACGGGCTCTTCCTATACGGAGATAATATATCATGTATAACAGGGTCTGGAGAAAATGTGACAGTTATTTGTTTTAGAGTTCAGAATGATGCAAGGGGCCTTTAGAAATAAAATATTGAAAAATAATAATCTGATGGACAATTACCACCATTGTACATATATAGAGGATAATTATTCAAATGAAAATAATGATTTGATTAATAATTCCACTACTGCACAAAGAGTTAAAATATTAGAAGAAAGAATGATTTGATGAATTACCACCACTGCACATTAATATAGTAAAAATAAACATGAAATGTGTCGATTTAATGTTGCGATAAACTACAATTTGCGAAAATGTTTCTTTAATCGCAGGTTGAGCACCACAGCAAGAAACAGAGGAAAGATCCCGTTTCTGTTTTCAGCTTTGTGACGATGCATTTTCCAGCAAATCCAACAGTTCGTTTATCTTAAAATAGGAGAATTTCCTCGACCCATAAAGGTACACTTCACCCACACAAACGTTTAAAATCACAACATTTGGAGATTTCAATTGAGAGGAAGGGGATGAAATCTGAAAGGTAATTAAAGCTGTCAGACAAATGTAGTGGAGTCAAAAGTACGATATCAACCTCTGAGATGTAGTGTGGAGTACAAGTAGGACAGTTGCATAGAAGGGTGATACTGAAGTTAAGCACAATAATAAATATAACATAACTCTGTAGTGTGCATCCTTGGGATGCATGTTGGCATGTTTGATTGTTTGATACAGAACAGAAGTTCAGGAAGTCAGACAGATGGAAGGATGCACTGATCATAGAAATGACAGAAACACGTTGAATATGAGACGATCAACAAGCAACAGCACCTTATAATATATATTATAATGGTTTCAGTATGAATTTATTCCAATTCAGCATGAAAACGTTAAAAGCAAAAAGATGAGCAGCTCCTCTTACTGCTCATTCTTTATTAAATGAAACAGAATTCCAAAGGAAACTGGACTGTAGTTTGTCATGTTTAGAGCTTATTTTGTTTTTATGAATTATATTTTTATTTAAATGTGAACATTAAGCAGATATTAAATATATCAGACTTGTTTCACTCAAATTCTTTTATCTTTAGAAATAATGAATCCAAGGGCAGGTGTTGCACTAAATAACAACAGAATGAAATAACAGAAATAAAAGTAAGTAATTTAATTCATACAGCACTTCTCAGGTGCAGAGATCACAATGTTCTTCACAATTAAAGAGAGAAAAGCAAATAAAACACAAGACAACAGACGTTAAAAGATAAAAATATTACACATTAAATAAGAGACTAAAACTAAATCAAGTTTAAACGACCTGCTTGGTAAAGGAGACGTGTAAAGACTCTAGAGTGCCACCGACCCACAATGAAATAAGACGAGCAGCAGTTTTTGTGGGCGGCCTTGTTCAGATCCAACGAGCCAATCAGATCAGTTTAAAGACACAGGAGCTAACATGGAGCGTTTCAGACAGAGGGGACTACAGGTCCATTAAGACAGACAGTATAAGACAGACAATGTGTTTCTTCAACATGAATGCATGTAAACATGTTCCAGTAGAAACATGTATGAACCTGAAGATGAACACATGTCCCCTTTAAAGGTGTCCACAGTGTCTGCAGGTCTTAGATACAACGGGAGAGAACAGAACCGCAGGAACGTTGGCCGGGTTTAGTTTAGAGGAAAGAAGGATGAAGTCGATCAACCTGTCTGGTATTTAATACAAGCTGACTCACTTATTCCAGATCTCATCAACGATGTTTCTAAGTTTCTTCAGGCTTAGTCCGTCAAAATCAGCCGAGCTGTTTCCAACAGACAGCAACAGGCCCAGCGTCACAGCCATCCAGCACAGACCTGCCATCTGAGGATGTTCAACAGACATCATCAGGGATAATAATGATTTACATTACAATCTCAAAATGTGTATAATCTGCAGCAGGTTTTTAATTAAACCCAAGCTTCACCAGCACATATCACATTTCACCTGCATCGTGTCAACGTCTCATATTTAGTTTGAGGTACTTGTACTTTACTTGAGTATTTGTATTGTCTGCTACGTTACACTTCTACTCCACTGCATCTCTGAGGGACATGTTGTACTTTTTACTCCACTACATTTATCTGACAGCTTCAACTATTTAACAAGTTCAGAAAAACAAAACACATAATCAATAAATAAATGATGATATTATTAATATAATAATGATTTATTGATCCCCAGGGGAAATGAACATAATAGTAACATATAAAATATAGATGAACATATAAATGCATCAATAGTTATAATATAATAATATCATTTATTATTCTGAAACGGTCCATTCTGCATAATGAGTACTTTTACTTTTGGTACTTTGTTGTTAATACTTGTGTACTTTTCCTGAAGTAACATTTTCATGCAGGACTTTTACTGGTAACAGAGTATTTCTACCGTGTGATGTTGATATTTTTACATCAGTAAAAGTACTTCTTCCACCACTGCGTTAACTTTATACCAAAATATTCACAACATGGAAACAGAACGTTTTACAGTTTCTACAAAAGTTCACTTTCCAGAGAAAAGGGAACAAAAGCATTTCTCAGAGTTAAACGGGGTCCGGATCATGAGGATGCTCACCTTCACTGCTGCTGCCAACCAGATGTAAAAACCCTCAAACAGAGAAGACACAAAAAACAAACGTATTTTAAATTCGTATTTGAAGTTATAATTTGTACTCAATCAACCAAGTGAAATCTAGTACCTGCTTTGGTGGAGAAGGATGTTTCTCAGCTGTTTCCTTCTCAAGGTGCTGCCGCAGTGAATGCAGTCAGAAGGAAGTGACCTTTTTATAAAGGAGAGCCGGACCACGGCCAAACCCTCCCAGTGGCCCCATGCCCTTATTTAAGCATGTCTCTGAGACACCATAACAAGTTGAACATCACACAACTCGTGTTGATCCGTAGCCCTGACTCATCACCTTTGGAGACCTATACTGACTGAAGCAATGCTTAAGGAAGGGCATTTGGGGTACACCTAGTCATACTCATTAGTTTCAGTTAATAATTGATCGTTTTCATCCTCCTCCGCTACTGTCTCTTGAAGTGTAAGTTTCAACAAACAGAACTTAGCTATACGTCTCCTTAAACTGGACCTTTAGTCTCTTTTAAGTTGTCTCCAAGATGTCAAGGCAAGACAAATATTTACATTTCCAGTGTAATGACAATAAGACAAACATCCTTCTCATCAGTCCTGGAAACACCACTCACGAGGAACCTTATTTTCTTGGTCCTTCAAATCCCCAAAACACACACACACCTAAAAATACACATCTACTGCCATACTACACACAACCAGAAGACATTTGTTTCCACCTGGTGAATGTAAGCACAATATTTATTCTCCTTTTAGCTCTTGTTGGTCTCTACCAAGGCCTGAGAAACAACACATTTGTGTTGAGATTGACAGGAGGAGAGCTAGTGACATCAGCAGCACCGTTAACGAAGGTTCTGTTCAGTTACATTATGATGCCTTCAGGCTCTGCTCAGTGAAAATGAGTACTGGACGAAGGTGAATTACAAAGTTATCATGATTTGTTCACATGTTATCTCATAAAATGTAGCTTTGGTGAGAAACTTAAATAGAGAGTTGTTTGAAGGAGATGTTTTTACCACAACATGAATAGATATTAGAGATGAATTATGAGCCATTAACACTCGCTCATTGTCTCAGAGCTCCCTTCTGACACAATGTGACCAACCAGCTGTAATCAGCTGAGCCTTCCAGTTAACCAGACTTACTCTACTACATTTCAGAGGGAAATTATGTACTTTTCTACTCCACTACAGTTATTTAACAGCCACTAGCAGCTCTAACTGGGCAGTTCATCAGTGTGACAGTTTTGTTTCGCTGCTTTTTGAACGATTCTTGTAGAGCTCTTGTTTTAATCACAGAAAATGTTTTGTGTTTTAGGTTCAGTGTCAAAATCTGCTCTTCATGCCGACTCATTGTAGCAGAAGCAGAAGAGGGAAGCTTCACTGAGGTTACTCAACAGGTAGGTGAGGTGTGAAGGACTGTTTAGAGAAATATCAAACTACTTCCTGTTTTTTCTTTAGGCAACCCACATGTTCAGAACGTTTTTACCAGTTTTCTTTTTTCGCCTTTAGCCTCGTCATCATGACTTGAAGATTAAAGATGGAGTTGTCAGCAGAAGGTGAGAGGGCTGGTCAGAGTCAGCTACAGGTCAGAAGTGCAGAACAGGAAGTGGAGGTAACGGAAAAAAACACAGTGTACTTCTATATTTGTTTCTAACAGCCAGCCTGCCAACAGGAGAAGTCTGTCAACAAAGAGACAATAAACATTTTTATAATACTCCACAACGATATCACAATCTACAAAATCAAATGCAATAAAAATCAAATGAAAGATACAAACAAGGTCCAAAATAAAACATCACTCACGAGGAAGCTTATTTTCTTGGTCCTTCAGATGTCCACACATGCTGGTGTAACTCTTGAGTCTGCTTAGTAAACTCAGGGATAAGTAGTAACTTATTTCACATCACGTTGATTATTAATAGCTTTTGGAGATCTGGATGTGGTCCTTGTGTTTTTAATAATTGATGTTGTGAATACGGTAACTCTCTAGATCATGCAGCAGCTATAGACTCACTGCTACTAGGGAGTCTTCACTCAGTCTTCAATGAAGACTCCAAAGTCTTCATTTTGTTTTTCTTAAGCCATTCAGAGGTGGACTTGCTGGTGTGTTTTGGATCATTGTCCTGCTGCAGAACCCAAGTGCGCTTCAGCTTGAGGTCACGAACAGATGGCCGGACATTCTCCTTCAGGATTTGTTGGTAGACAGCAGAATTCATGGTTCCATTTACCACAGCAAGTCTTCCAGGTCCTGAAGCAGCAAAACAGCCCCAGACCATCACACTACCACCACCATATTTTACTGTTGGTATGATGTTCCTTTTCTGAAATGCCGTGTTACTTTTACGCCAGATGTAATGGGACATACACCTTCCAAAAAGTTCAACTTTTGTCTCGTCAGTCCACAGAGTATTTTCCCAAAAGTCTTGGGGATCATCAAGATGTTTTCTGGCAAAACTGAGACGAGCCTTTATGTTCTTTTTGCTCAGCAGTGGTTTTCGTCTTGGAACTCTGCCATGCAGGCCATTTTTGCCCAGTCTCTTTCTTATGGTGGAGTCATGAACACTGACCTTAATTGAGGCAAGTGAGGCCTGCAGTTCTTTGGATGTTGTTCTGGGGTCTTTTGTGACCTCTTGGATGAGTCGTCGCTGCGTTCTTGGGGTAATTTTGGTCGGCCGGCCACTCCTGGGAAGGTTCACCACTGTTCCATGTTTTCGCCATTTGTGGATAATGGCTCTCACTGTGGTTCGCTGGAGTCCCAAAGCTTTAGAAATGGCTTTGTAACCTTTTCCAGACTGATAGATCTCAATTACTTTGTTTCTCATTTGTTCCTGAATTTCTTTGGATCGCAGCACGATGTCTAGCTTTTGAGGATCTTTTGGTCTACCTCACTTTGTCAGGCAGGTCCTATTTAAGTGATTTCTTGATTGAGAACAGGTGTGGCAGTAATCAGGCCTGGGTGTGGCTAGAGAAATTGAACTCAGCTTTCCAAAGATGTGATAAACCACAGTTCATTTATGTTTTAACAGGGGGGGGCAATCACATTTTCACACAGGGCCATGTAGGTTTGGATTTTTTTCCCCCCTTAATAATAAAAACCTTCATTTAAAAACTGCATTTTGTGTTTACTTGTGTTATCTTTGTCTAATATTTAACTTTGTTTGATGATCTGAAACATTTAAGTGTGACAAACATGCAAAAAAATAAGAAATCAGGAAGGGGGCAAACACTTTTTCACACAACTGTATATATTATATACAGTATATATACTGGACTTGAAGTGGGCCCCCAACATCGACACCATCAGGAAGAAGGCCCAGTTGCGCTCTCGGATTTTGACAGTGATTTGCCTTCATAGTTGTACTTCCTGCGCCAGCTCAGGAAGTTCAACCTGCCTCAGGAGCTGCTGATTCTGTTTTACTCCACCATCATCCAGTCTGTTCTCTGCTCTTCCATCACTGTGTGGTTTGGATCGGCCACCAAACAGGACAGGAACAGACTACAACGGACCGTCAGGTCTGCAGAGAGGATCATTGGTTCCAGCCTGCCCTCCATCCTGGACCTGTACACCTCCAGAGTCAGGAAACGGGCAGGAAAGATCACTGCAGACCCTTCACACCCTGGACACAAGCTGTTCCAACTCCTCCCCTCTGGAGGGCGCTACAGAGCTCTGTACACCAAAACCACCAGACAGGAACAGCTTCCTTCTGCCGTCACTCTGATGAACAATTAATCCGACATATTGCATCTTCATTTGCACTATTTGCACTATTACCACCTTCTGCACTAATATCCCAAATCCATTGTCATTGTCATTGTTCTTTATATATATTTAATTGTACATAGTACTTAAATGTTAAATGTGTATGCTTAGTTTCTCTGTTCTACTTTGTTGTCTTTAATGTCCTTGTTTTTTATATTTCTCTTGTTTATTGTATATATGTTATGTGTGTATGTACGATGAGAGTAATGTGTAACCCGGGTCAAATTCCATGTATGAGCACGCATACATGGCCAATAAAGCTGGAAAGATTCTGATATACTCTACTATGCTGCTGTAATCCTGTACATTTCTCCACTGCGAGACTAATAAAGGATTATTTTATTTTATCTTAATAATAATAATTTGTGATTTTGTACTTTACATCAAAGTTTGACGGTTAATAATATTTTTTCATCAATAATCTGAATCTGCAAAGTAATTTAAGTATTCAAATAACATGTAGGGGAGTAGAAGTACCCGGTAACTTTACATGGAGACACTGAAGAACACGTGTACCTGATGGGTGCAGTTACAACGTCCCACCAGTAGACGACGCCGCTGAGCGACTCTCGGCTGTGGGTGAGTCAAAGGAAAAGGAAGTGAAGAAGTGAACTTATAGTTTCCAGCAGGTTTGCTGTGTGTTTGGACGAAGATGCTAGTTAGGAAATGACAGCTAATGTGAGTAGAATGGAGCGGTGTGTTGTTATTGATCATCAATACGTGTTCAATAATATATCCGTAATTTAATCAATCGAGTTTTAAGTCATTCGGCTGCCTCTCTCTTCTGGAAACTTGAACGGATTTGTAGCTCGACATCGTGAACAAGCTAGTTAGCAACATTAGCTGCGTTGATAGCAGCTAATGTTGCTAACTAGCTAGCTGAACTGTGATAAGAAGCTAAGCTAGTTAAATTAAGCTAAATAAGTTAAATAGATTGAATTTAGCTCAGGCTAGTCTTATTCCTGCTAAGCTAACGTGTATATATGTATAATACCACATATTTAATTATAGAAGGGTGTATTATTCTGTTTTATAATATAATGTTACAGGTGTCGTGTTAGCAGGTTAGCAATAGACTAATGTCACGTGATCGACACTTAATTTAGTTGTAGATGCAAATCAGAAACTAACGTTACAGTAATATTAAATATATAATAATAAATAAATATTCAACTATATAAATAAATAAATATTCAACTAAATAAATAAATAATAATAAATAAATATTCAACTTCTCACACGTGTCTGGTTCTAAAGTCATGAGGCTGAATACTAAATTGAAAATCAGGTTAGTGAAACACGTTAATAACCGTTACAGTTTTTTAAAGTGTTTTTTTAAAACGCGTTAACCATTAAATGTTTTTTTTTCTCGTTGGTATCAAAGGTCACAGAGGGAGAGAGACGTTTATTTTTAGCTCTGCTGAGACTCGGTGGTTTCTTTTAGACTGTCCTTACAGGACGGACAGTTAGCAGCTCAAAGTAATAATGTTTTACTTCACAGCAGTACTAACACAAGTACTAATACCACTCTGGGACAATACTCCACTACAAGCAAAAGACCGGCATAAAAGTATGTAACGTTATCAGCACAATGTGCTCAAAGTACCAAAGTATTCATAGTGCAGTAAAATGTTCCCCGTCAGTGTTTTACTATTATATATGATGTTTCTGGATTAATATCACTGCTGTATTAATGTGTATGTCGTATTTTAACTTCTTTATATCATCATATGTTTGTAGCGTCTCTGTCCTGTGAGAGCCTCGTATCTCTAGAAAGAACAAACAGTTTTCAGCTTTGTGACGATGCATCGTCCAGCTTGTCCAAGAGTTTATTAATGTGAAGAAGTAGGAGGATTTTATCAACACATAAAGGAACATTTCATCCTTCAGTTTATCACAAACAGTTGAAATCAACACATCTGGAGATACGATGTTTTCACTGGACAGGAAGGAGATGAAAAACTGTAACTAAAGCTGTCATTATTTACCTCTGAGATGTAGTGGAGTAGAAGTATAAAGTTAAATGAAATGGAAATAGTCCAGTAAAGTACCTTGAATTTGTAATTCAGTCCAGTACTTGAGTAAAGGTACTTGGTTACCTTCCACATCTGCCTACATGTGTCTTTTCTGTTCTTTTTATTAGCACCAGAGCAGGTGGTGGAGGAGTCAATAGGGGCCCACAACAATTAAGGGCCAAAAACAAATGAATCCGTCCATGTTAACTGGACAGGGACCATCATTGGGTAACCTTATCGTCCCAAATCTGACACATGAACTAAGACACTTCCTGTCAAATACACCACCTAGTGGTTCCCTCAGTATCTAGTCTGACTGTGCACACAATGCTACTCTGTAGTGTCTCCACAGGTCAGCGCTTTGTGTGGTTTTGACCTGGTTTTCATCCTGTTTGGCGGGTTTGAAAACTCACCAAACAAGATGAAAAGCAGCACTGGTTCCACTTTATGACATGAGAGAACTTCCTCCTTTCCTCTGTTTCATATCGTTGTAAACTAACAATCTTATTTCACCGTTCTCTATATATTTTATGTACTAAAAGATGTCATCAAAAAGTGTATTAACTGATGCATAATTAAAATAATCCTCTCGTCCTGTCAGGCTGTCTGGTGTCGTCCAGGCGCTGACTGACTGACCGATGCCTTCATCATGATGCAGAGCTGCAGCGCTCTGGTCGTCCTCCTCCTGCTGTCCCAGGCCAGAGGCTTCCTTGGCCCCTCCGAGGACGACGACGACGTCCCCGAAGAGTGGACGCTGCTCCATGTGGTCCAGGGCCACATCGGGGCCGGAAACTACAGCTACCTGCGCCTCAACCACGACGGCCGAATCATCCTGCACATGCAGAGTCTCAAGGGCGACGCAGACCTCTACGTGTCGGACAAAACCCTGCGGCCGAGCTTCGACACCTACAAGCTGCAGTCGGTCACCTGCGGCCACGACGTGGTGGTGGTGCCGGGGGACTTCGCCAGGCCCGTGGGCATCGGCATCTACGGCCACCCGTCCCACAAGGAGAGCGAGTTTGAAATGCGGGTGTTCTACGATCCGACGGTGTCCCAGGAGCTGTTCGATGAGGGCTACACGTCAGAAGATGGACACAAGAAAAAGAAATCCCCTCAGGCATCGGAGGAGGACTTTCAGGAAGAGGAGTCGATCTTTTGGACAATTCTAATCGGACTGTTGAAGATTGTACTCGAGATTTTGTTTTGAAAAATGGTTTCCTGCGTTGCTGCTGTGACACGAGGAGGAGATTCTTTGCTCAGTCAGCATTGATACGATTGGAGAAGATGATTTTCTTTCATTCTGTAGAGATGAGAAAATGTGGCACAAAAAACTCATTTTAACAAATTCTTTTCTTTTTCTTGTGATCAAACTGCGTAACGGATGAAATCAGTCTTAAAACTTGTGGATGGATTATTTGCTGAGTTCACCGGTGAAGCCTGACCGTATGTTTGGTGATGAGCAAATGAACAAAAGCCTGTTGGGTGCAGCACATTCTGCTTTTGGTGTCGTCTCGTACAACCAGACAGATTTAAAGCGTGTTAAGCTGAAACACGGGCTCGTGTTAATTCATGGCCTTGATTTGGGCCTTTTGTGGTTTTTCTTAATTGAACTGCAGTTCAACCAAAAGCGCAAGAGTTTAAATATTTCATACAAAACACACATGCAGTATGTAAGAGTTATTGGTTACTTTTATACGCTCCTCTCCATACTGGTCGTGAAGGAACCTCTACTGACAGAACCCACAGTCCTGGTTAAGTCCCGGTGATGCTCCCAAATGGGATAAAAAGCCTGCCGTCATTTCTTCCTCCTGATCGCACCGCCTCTCCGGTTGCTCTCCAAGAACTCTGTGTTTTCCGTGTCTTGATACGATGACTCGTGTCACCGAGGGTATCGACAGACTCTCCTCGAAGGTGTTTCATTCGGTTGATCGCACACAAAAAACCACAGAAGTCGCTGTGTGAAGTATTTAAAAATACTTCTTAATTAGAGTTCAAATTCTGCCTATTTTCTAACCTCCAATCCTTGTTTTTTTGTTTTTTAGAAGAAGAAGAAGAAGTGTTGGTGGTTGTCGGATTGTGTATTTAAGAAAAAGAATAGTTTGATGCATCAGAAAGGGAACTTCAGGCGCATTTTGACAAACAGACTTCGTTTTGAGGTTTGCATCTTTTCCTGTGTTTTGTAGAAAAAGCAGTTTTATTTTTGGTCCACTGTGTCGATCCTCCTGTACTGGTCTCCTCATCGGGGTCTCGTAGATGTTGTGAGGAGGTCATCCAAACCAATCCTCCTGACTTCAGCATAAATCTTCAAATTAAGAGTTGGATTCAAACAGCGGTGACTAACTCTCACCTCTCGGCCTGTGAATGAATGAAACCGCTTGTCTTAACTTAAATAGAAGATCCACACACTACTTAGCAATACAGTCATTGTCGGCCATCTTTGAAGATAAACATGAGGTTTCCTACTGGTTTCTCTCTCTCTCTCTGTCTCTGTCTCTCTGTCTCTGTCTCTCTGTCTCTGTCTCTGTCTCTCTGTGTGTGTGAGAGAGAGAGAGAGAGAGAGAGGTTTCATGTTATTGAACATAAAGGAAGGTTGTAACGGTAAACAGCTGTTAGTAATGTGTCTCTGAGGAAGTTGGTGAGATGCTGAAAATGTTGTCATGATTCTTATTTTCGACATTAAATGTGATCATGTGGGTTCACTGGGACAGATGGCTCCCAGCCTGTTGACATGAGTAGCAGCATTTCATTTGATCGGTCACTGTTCTTCTGTTTGGTTGCCTGTTGGACGCGCTCCTGATTTAAACGAACGTCACCTCCTGCTGTGTGGAGTCAGAGTGAAACTCGCTACCGATGAGCAGAAATGTTCAACAGTGCCTTCCAGTGATCGCTCTCCGTTGTCCTGTTCAGAGACGATGCAATCAGGTTTCTAAATAAAGCAGAAGTGTTTTTCGCAGACTGTTTAAAAAAAAAAAAAAAAAAAAAAACTTTTGTCTCGTTCATTTTTGTTTCTGATTATTTTGGGGAAAAAGACGCTTAAATGTAGAGCCGAGTGATTCTGAGATAAATCTAATTTAAATGAGGTTATACATCATCTTAACTCATGATATAATAGTTTAAATGTACTGTATGACACATGACTTCTTTATAGAAATATATATATAAACATTTATATGTATGTATAATATGCATATAAATATATATATATACACATAAAGTGCAGCCATATTGCAAAATAAATCTCATTGATTGAAGACTAATCTAAAGACAGTTAAAGGTCTATTATTTTACTTATATACTATATAATAATATATATTAATGAATCACTAATACACGTCATGGCTTTAAGAAAGCTTTAAGAAAATTAAGTTCTGTGTGTTAAACAGATAAGTAGAAGTATATATCTATACCAAAAGTAAAATTGTCATTTAATGACTGAATAATGTGACGGTTTTATATCTCTGGATCATAATTATTGTGTTCATGTGTTCATCTATTTAGTGTTGCAGCTGATAAATGTGGAGCTCATTTTATTTAGTTTAAACTATAATGATACATAATCTATCAAGTAAATGTAGTGGAGGAAAAAAAAGTACAATATTTGCCTCTGAGATGAAGTAGAAGTATAAAGTACCATGAAATGGAAATACTCACGTAAAGTACTTCAGTCAATATACTTACTTTCCACCTCTGAAATTAATGATTAATCGACTAATAACTTTTGGGATAATCTGTTTTCTAATATATTTATAATATCTCATATTTTGCATGTATTATATATATATGTATTTTTAACAAGAAAAACTACTTTGGAAGATTTATGAAATAATACTGAATTTGAGACTCAGCGTTTACCTGCAATCAGAGGTGAAAGTAACTAAGTACATTTACTGAAGTACAACTTTGAGGTACTTTACTTTATTCTTCCACTCCACTACATCTCAGAGGGAAGTCATGTACTTTTTACTCCACTGTCGTCCGACAAGCTTTAGTTACTTTACTTTACAGATCCAGTAAACTAAAACATGATATATTATTATAGATTATTAAGAAGGAGCTGCACCATAACCAGCTGAACCATTAAATAAACATATTGATGCATCAATGATCATCATCCAGTCATGTATTCTGAAATGAGACATTCTGCATAACTAATACTTTTACTTGCAATACTTTAATAATATTTTGATACCAATACCTTTGTACGTTTACTAAGATTTACAAAGCAGGACTTTGTAGCAGAGTATTTCTTTACACCGTAGTACTGCTACTTTTACTTTAGTAAAGTAAGATATATAAGACATAAGCACCACTGACTTTATATGACTTTTATTAAATTTAAAAACAATAGAACAGAATCCTTAAATATCATCTGCAAAAGTTGAAGCTTTATTTACACTTTTTATCCCAAAGAGTCACTTTGTTGCAGCATTAAAGCGACTCGTGAACAGTTTGTTGACTGAAAACAAACAGTCTGTGTGAAGTAGTCCACTCTTCTTCTTCTTCTTCTTCATGCGAGTCTGGGGGCCAGCTCGATGCTGTTGATCCTCAGCACCGTCTGCGGCTGGATGATGATCCTCTTGCGCTGGAACCGGTGTCTCTTCCAGAACGTCATGTGGACTTTGGGCCAGGACTCGGTCTTCTCGATCACGGTGGCCTCGACCCGGACCAGGTCCTTCCCGAGCAGAGGCCTGCCCATCAGGGTGAAGTCCTCCGCGCCGCACAGCAGCACCTTCTCCATGCGGATCCGCTCTCCGCACTCCGCCTCGATGTGGTTCTCGATCAGGATCAGGTCCTCGTCGGTGACCTTCCACTGGCGGCCGGCGAAGTGCACCACGGCGAACAGGCGGCCGAAGTCCCGCCGGTCGATCCGCTGGTTCACGGTGCTCACCACCGCGGCGTGTCGGTTCCGCTCCTCCTCCTCCGGTACCGGGCTCATCTGCTCCGGCCACGGAGGCCTAGAGAGGGAGGTCCGGGGCATCAGGTCCCGGGCCTCGGAGCTCTGTGTTCGGACAGAGTGTCTCGGTAACAACCTGGAGCATGTCCTCCACAACACCGCTCCTCTGGACAGCGACATCTTTGACAGGAAATGCTGTACTACGTTGCACCGCGCATGCGTGACTTGACACGGTATTTTGCGCATGCGTCACTACTGAATCACCTGACTTTTTCTGCTTTCAAAGACATCCTTATACTTAAGTATTGTACTTGAGTACAAATTCGAGGTACTTGAGTATTTCAATTTTATGTACAACTATATTGTATCTACAACTCCACTACATCTCAGGGGTACATATTGTACTTTTTATTGTACTACATCTCAGAGTTACATATTGTACTTTTTACTGTACTACATCTCAGAGGTACATATTGTACTTTTTATTGTACTACATGTCAGAGGTAAATATTGTACTTTTTAATTTACTACATCTCAGAGGTAAATATTGTATTGTATGTTAAATGTTTATGCTTAGTTTCTCTGTTCTACTTTAATGTCCTTGTTTTTATATTTTTCTTGTTTATTTGTATATTCTATGTTTGTACGTTAAGAGTAATGTGTAAACCGGAGTCAAATGATTACTGTTTAGTTAGTTAATTGAATATTATTCTATTTCATTGTATATATTGTGCATTCTTATACTTAACATATATATATTTTTTTTTTACTCTGTTATTTTGATTGCTTACCTGTATCATAATGCTGCTGTATCGAACAAATTTCCCCTTATGGCATTAATAAAGTATCTGTCTGTCTGTCTAGATTCCTTGTATGCGTATGATTCTGGAGACTGCAATTTCCGACAGCCCATGAACGCAGCGCAGCTCTTGCCTCCATTTTGTATCGGTCGGCCCGTTTCCGGGTTTCCGAGAACAGGACCGATAATAAAACGGTGTCAACGGCGGAGTAATGGCTCTGCTGGTCGCAGCCGGTCAGGAGTGCGGGTAAAGTTGTCCGTAGCTACCTGTGAAACAGTTAAAAAGTGACTTCCTTTAACACTTCGTTGTCTCAAAAGAAGTCTTTACCGACAGAAGTCACACAAGCAGCCGGACTGCGCTGACACACTGACAGCTGGAGAAAGTAAACAGATCAATGCTAACCAGCTAACTGCGGCTAGCCACGAGCTAACTGCGGCTAGCTACGCTGCTAGCCTGAGCTAATGCTAACGTTAGCCGGCTAACCTGTGAGTGGTGGTGTTGTTTTTGGTGACGTTAACTTGCATAATAATATTTTTGTCAAACTTCACTCGACAACGGATTCGCACTCAACGGAACTTTTCCATTCATGTTGTTTTTGGAGGACGAGATTATCAAAGCACCACTTCTTCTGTGAGTACATTATCAGGATGTTTGAAGCTAACTCCACTTTATGCTAAATTTATGCTAGTGCCAGGTGTATTTCTTCACTCACCTGGGCGCGGCTAAACTACCTGTATAAGGCCTGATGAATCCTGTTTTACTGAGCTTTATGTTCTAAGAAGCACTCAAGATAATTTACTTAAATGTTGTACTTGTTACTTCACTACACCTCAGAGGTACATATAGTACTTTTTACTTTACTACACCTCAGAGGTAAATATTGTACTTTTTACTTTACTACATCTGAGAGGTACATATTGTACTTTTTACTGTACTACATCTCGGAGGTAAATATTGTACTTTTTACTGTACTACATCTGAGAGGTACATATTGTTTATGCTAGTACCAGGTGTATTTCTTCACTCACCTGGGAGGCGGCTAAACTACCTGCCCAGACCTGATACATCCTGTTTTACTGAGCTTTATGTTCTAAGAAGCTCTCAGATAATTAAGTACAAGTACTAATACAACACAGGGAAAATACTCCACAATAAGTAAAAAAAAATCCTGCATTAAAAACCTCACTTAATTAAAGGTAACGTGCATGTTTTTATTGCAGGAAACTCTTGAATTTGTCCAACAACATTTATGATTTATGGCTTAATAATTGGATGAGTATATTTGTGTTCCACTCTTAAACAATTTAGCTGAAGGGGATATTTGTACTGGAAGTGTATGAGCACAAACAAATGGGCTATGTTATTGCTTCACTTGAGCTGTCAGTGCTTTAACAACACACAGAGCCGTGGGCCTTTAGCTCTGTGTCTTTCCTTGACCACAAAAGCATCCTACTTCCTCACCCCCCCTCCTTTCCTCAGTTGTATTTCCCTGTGCAGCATCACACTATTGATGCGAGTAGACGTCTTCTTTCCTGTTTGGGTGGACAGCTTAATGGAGACCAGACATCAGCAATCTTGACCTACTTATGGACCACTTCAGACTTATTCAGATTATAGGAGTCAAAGGTCAAGCATCCCCTGCTTTATGGTCTGTTTGACTCTAAATGGACCATA